TGTCAATTTCCCGTGTGTAATACAAAATGACTGAAAAACGGCAAACTTCGCATGGCTATATTATCCACATTTTACAACATTTCGCAACGAAACTTCGGAATATTACTAATTTTGTGATGCTCTTTCAAGCTGTGATGAAATTTTTGTCTAGATCAAAATTTAGTCTATAATGCAAATGGTCCATTGCGAACTGAAACCTCGATTTCGTGAAATTTTGAAATATACATAATGATATAATTGTAATATACATAATGATAACAAATATAAATATACATAATATACACAAGGCGTCCCATAAAAAGTGAACCTTTTAAAATTGAAATTGTTTATCATATGACCTTATGTGTTAGAAGTCATTCTTAATTTCTCGTGTGACTTAGAAGCGATCAATTGTATGAAGAGCGTAATAGGTTGATGCAATGTTGACATTATTGACACTAGCACACACGTGACTAGAAAGTTAGTTAAGTATTTTAGAAGCACGAGGCTAGGAAACCGGGAAGTAATTGGATACGTACTATGCTGTTTGTACAAGTTGTTTGATATCTATTGTTATACTTAAAAGTGCTTGATATTGATACAAAACCACGAACATTACATTGGCGACGAGGTAAACAAACAAACAAACAAAAAAACAGCTATCGTTTATCAATACAAACGATTTTGAAATCTCTAGTTTACGAATACAGTCATGGCGACTGGCCGAATCAATGTAGCGCCAATGGCGCCATTTGATCCTATGTCCGATCCAAACTCTCTCAGTCAGCGCTGGAAAAAGTGGAAACGACGATTTGAAACATATCTTGTTGCTCTGAATGTGACTGAAAAGAAACAAAAGCGGGCTCTCTTGTTGTACCAAGCTGGCCAAGAGACTCAGGATATTTTTGATACCCTTGCTGACATAGGCGAAGACGACGACTATGATTTCGCTATCGCTGCCCTCGATACGTATTTTTCACCTAAAAAACATGTCGATTTTGAAATTTTTAAGTTTCGTGAAGCCAAACAACAACCACATGAAACAATCGATCAGTTTTCAACTCGTCTTAGGAAGCTGGCGGCAACCTGTGACTTCGAAAATATGGACAAGTAAGTAAAATCGGCCATAATTCAAAACTGTTTATCGAAACGTCTACGACGCTACGCCCTGCTTGACTCGGAAGTTACGCTAGCCAAGATTCTCGCAAAAGGCAGAGCTTTTGAACTCAGTGAATCGCAGGCAACCGGCATTGAAAACGCACTTGACTCAACACATATTTCTGACGAAGTAGTTGAAGCTGTCCATCCTACAACGAAACATGACAACCATCGTGACAAACAACATACATCGTTTCACCGCCAAGACTTTTACACCTCATCAGAGTGTCGGAATTGTGGGGGGCCCTGGCCCCATAATAACAACAATATTTGTCCCGCGAAAGGAAAATCCCGTCTGAACTGTGGAAAATCAAACCATTTTGCGAAGGTCTGTCGTAGTGCTCGCAAGGCTCGCGTCGGTCAACAAGAGAATCGAAGGCCTTCAAAAAAATACCACAAAAACAAAGTTCACCATAGGCTGCCCAAAAGTGCGTGTTGTAATTTTTACCCTCCCGCGTGGCGCTCGGGCGTGCATCGAGTCTACTCAGTTTATTATTATGACATGTTTATTGTCATAATAATAAACTGAGTAGACTCGATGCACGCCCGAGCGCCACGCGCGAGGGTAAAGTTACAACACGCACTTTTGGGCAGCCTATGAGTTCACAAGATTTATGGCAAACCCTCCAGCAGTGAAACAGTTTGTCAGCGAAAAACTTAATCTAAACGGCGAATGGGTTAGTCCAGGAGGCGATAAGAAATTATTTAATGATGGCTACATATCTATTTCGTGGCGAAAAAATAAGAAAGCCTTACTGATCGACGGCGATGATCGGGATAAATTTAAGAGTAAACTCTGCAGGATGATCTGTGCGAACGATTTCAATAAAGGGAATATGTGCGAAGAAACTACGACTGTGAATGTTGAATGCCAGTCCGCCTCTCCTATGCGAGCGCCGTTAAGCGAGCTATCAACCGAGGTGGAAGGCATTAAACTCGATGTAACGATAGCAGAGCGGGAAATAGAAGTAA